AACTAATTACATAGATATTTGCAATACGAATCTATTAATCCTAATTAATATATTATTAGCACTTGTTTACTATAGCACAACATAGTTAAATCATGAACTAATTATGTTTAATAGATTCATCTCGTAAATTAATATTTGTCTATACAACTAGTTTTAAAATTAGTACATATTTAATATTCTAAATTAATGTCAAATATTCAACGTGACATAGACTAAATTTTAATCGGGGCAGGAAACACCCCATACAGTACGTGTGTCACGTGGGAGGTCCACGTCCACCGTCAAAACTCTATGGCGTGCACGGTGCACCCAATCATGGGATCCACTTTTGAGAGAGACCAACTTGGTCAGGAAGGAGGGTGGCAGAACTGCGGAAGCAGTTGCTGCTGCCTGGTGAATATTCGCCACGTCCCACTTTAAAATTCCGCACGTGAGGGCGGCCCAACACCGTTCGATCAGGGAGCAGGCAGTGTGACGGCCAGGTCGCGTGGATGGGTCGTGGCCGATATGAGATACCCCTATATCTTCTTACTCGCTTAGGTGGAGATCGAAAAAAAGGGGCTCTCCAGCCACTATGGCCTAGTATGGGTTATCGCCCGGCTGGAAACATTATGCTCTGTCAACTCACAGCAATTTCATCATTATTTTTTATTCCAAGTGTTGTGGCAGTACTTAGCCCGGATCTGACATTTATTTACTCCTATTTATTATTTATGTCAACGTCGGCTCATTTTCATTGAAGAAACGCATGAACGAGAAAAAAAAATCCCACGTTCCAAACAGAACTAAATGTTCCAAGTATCCGAATTAAGTACTGTTACTTCGGTCTTTAGGCTCGGTTAATGAAATAAACGAAAACAATTGAGTTATGCAAAAGGCCAGTTTAACCTTGATACTCTTGAGTCTTGATCTAAAAACTATAAAGTACTTCTTTTGTTTCGAATTATAAGATGTTTTGGTTTTTTCAGATACGTTGTTTTTTTTTTTATATATGTAGATAAGTGCACAACAAAATTTATGTATTTAGAGAAGTAAAAAATGCGGGAGGAAGTAGTTTCTATACCTGTCAAATCATGTTCTGATCTGATCTGTTCCTGTCCGGTGGGGCCCATTTACCAGTTACCCGCGGACCTGCCATCTACCAATTCACCGAGACCGCCCAGCTTGGGCCCGTACGGGTCGCTGTCGACTGTCGCCGGCGACACGTGCGTGTGTCCCGTGGCACGTGGGAGGTCCACACGTCCACGCCACGCCGCCGTCCAAACTCCATGGCGTGCACGGAGATCCACTTCTCAGTGAGAGTGAGACCAACTTTGGTCGGGAGGGAGGGTGGCAGAAGTGCAGAAGCAGTTGCTGCTGCCCGGTGAATATTCGCCACGTCCCGCTAGAAAATTCCGCACGCGAGGGCCGGCGGTCCAACGCCGTTCGATCAGGGAGCAGGCAGTGTAGACGGCCAGGGCTAGGTCGCGTGGATATGTGGGCCGTGCCCGATATGAGATCGAAAAAAAAGCTCTCCAGCCACTATGGCCTATGGGGTATCGCCCAGCTGGAAACCTTATCGTGTTTATTATCCTCTATCTACTTACAGCAATTTCATCGTTTTTTATTCCAAGTGCTGTGCCACTACTTGGTCCGGATCTGAAATTATATATGTCACCACCTGCTCAATTTTTCTTTGACCGACACAGGTCGATATAGCGCGTGTTTAGTTTCCATCTAAATTCCCAAAAAAGTGTTACGGTACCCATCATATCGAATCTTGCGATACGTGTATGGAGCATTAAATGTAGATAAAAAAAAACTAATTGCACAGTTTGGTTGGAAATTACGAGACGAACGTTTTGAGCTTAATTAGTCCATGATTGAACACTAATTGTCAAATAAAAATGAAAGTGCTACAGTATCCCAAAATCCAAACTTCACCCAACTAAACACGCGCATAATTATCCGATAACCAATAGTGAAACCAACAAAATGTTTAAGACGAAAATCGAAGCGACTGAAACTGAATGTTATGGTCTCAAAGTTCTAAGTATCCGAGCAAACCGAACATAGATCAGCTGGTTAGGGTTCCTGTGGTGGAACCTATCCACTTAGATTCAAGTCCTAGATTTTGGTATGAGTACTCGAATTTTTCTGGATTTATTCTAGGACCAACGGTGCTATGCTTTTAGTGGTAGGTGACGTCCCCGTCGACAGCGAAACGCCTATGGTGACTTTGTGAATCTCGAGATCTAGCGACTTAGTCCTTCGGATGTGCTCATAGGGGTGAGTGTGGGTGTATGTTATGGGCGTCCATATTATACTGTGTAAGTACTATTATATCAGTCTTGAGGCTCGGTTAATGAAAGAAATTACAAAATAATTAAGATATGCAAATGGCCAGTCTCTAATCATGAAATCTTGGCTAAATTAAACTACTCATGAAATCGCGATGTGCTATTTTTTATTTATATTACTACTAGCATGTAGCACAATGGTACCGTTTTGGAATCATGGAGGAATGCTTAAATCCAATGCCGGACCTTGCAACTCTAGACACATGGTTTTGCAAATAGGGATATGACGTGATAATAATTATGACGACGATGCTTATCAAGAAATGGACACTAGGTCGTTACAAAAAAAATAGCCCTCGTTTTTTTATGTTTATTAGAATCTAGCATAGAAAAGCATCGGAAGTATATATTGAGCTCACCAATTAATTTGTTAGCTTGGTAAAAGTCATTGGATAGCAGTGAATTTTTACACTGCTCTTGAAGTTGCTCAGTTGCTTGAGAAAGAAAAAAGTTACTTCAAACCAACACCCTTGGTTTGAAGAATGATCGAGCAGTGCATCATCTTCTCACTCCTCACTTTTCTGTTTAATTTGTGGAACAAAATGAGTTCATACATCATCATCTCATTTCTTAGAAGATACTCCATCCATCCCCAAAAGAATGCAATTATAGAGTAGTGTCATATTTTAGTATATTAAGTTTGACCAATTATAAATAAAAAATATAAATATTTATAATTATATACCATTAGATTAGATTAATTACGAAATATATTTTCATAATAAATTGATTTAGAGCCATAAATGTGAATACTATTTACTAGAAACTTGGTCAAACATGAAGCACTTAACTGGCACGCAATCCATATTACATCTTTTTTTTTGTGACAGAGGTAGTAATAATTAGTAGTAGTACGAAGAATAAAGTTATTCTACAAAATTTGAGTAATGAATTCACGATGTGTCATATGATATAAAATGATTTGATTTCTCAAACCAAATACTCCCTCCGTCCTATAAATAGAGTCTCTATAGGACTCGTGCCGCGTCAAACTTTCTTAAGTTTGACTAAATTTATATAAAATATTAACAATATTTATATTTTTAAATAAGTTTATTATAAAAATATATTTAAAGATCTATCTAATAATACTAGTTGTGTACCATAAATATTAATATTTCGTTATATATATATTTGGTCAAGTTATAGATTGTTGACTTCTTGGTAAGCAAGAACGGTTATTTTTACGGAAATGCTAAACACCACACGGGTGTTTTATCGAGAGCTGGCACACGATTTTTTTGTAGGCGTCGCATCCCCACGCCGCCATCGAAGAAGCGCGGCTACCCGTGGCCCGCCCTAGGAACCTGGGAACCCAGTCGTTTGTCGGATGGGCCACTGCCGCCATGCCCCCTGCAGCGTCTGCCGGGGCCGAGGAGAGATCCGGGGGAGGGCGCGCCACAGGAAGGGGACTCGATGCCTCACGCCGGAGGTAGGGGGTGGAGCCTTGCTGCCATTCTTTGGGAGGAAGGGGCTCGCCGCCTCCGGGCCGGTGGGGGGGCAGGCGCCGCCGCTCTCGGGGAAGGGACCGCCATAACATCCACAACCACAACCGGGAGGGAGGGAAGAGGGCTCACCGCCGTGTGGGGAGGCGGTGGGGAAGCAGCCGCCGCCCGCTCTCGGGGAAGGGACCGCCACATAACATCCACAACAATCACCGGGAGGGAGGGAAGAGGGCTCACCGCCGAATGTGGGGCGGTGGGGGAGCATGCACGCCGCTCTCTCGGGAAGGGGACCACCGCAACATCCACAGTATCACACGGGAGGGAGGGAAGAGGGCTCGCCCGCTAGTCACAGCGCGCCGCGTCGTCGTCATGACCGGGAGTGGCGCGGAGGCGACGCAATGATCCTTGTCCGACCACGAGGAGATCACCGCCGGTTGCCACCTCACCCCGTGGGCCCCGCGTGTCACTGACTCTGTCTTGTTGTCCTTCCATAGAAAAAATTTGTGATCTGTGATCTGTGATCTGTGATCTGTGGAGGCTGGAGGTAGAAGAATGGTGGAGGCTGTTGGATCTTAATCCTATGGTGTAAAAAAATTCATGTGTTGAAACTGCATAAAACATATGGTTGTTGGGTAGACAGACTCTATTTTTATCGGACGGAGGGAGTACTTCGTAGTCTCGACTTTAGTTTTTGTTTTTTTTTACTTTTCAGGGTTTTTGATAAAAAAAAAAGATAAAATCGGTGACACTGACACACAGCATGAGCACGCGCTTTTCCGTTGATGCAACTTTGCTGGGTGCCCGTAGCAGCGGAGCCGAAAGCGGAGATCCGGAGACAGACACATACACGGGCAGACCGGTCGGTGCACGGAGGGAATGAACCAACCAACCAGAACCAGCAACGGAACGGAACGGGAGTAGCAGAGGCCAGAGCAGGACAGAGGAGACGCGACGCGAAGTGGAACCAAACCGGCAAACGGAACGGAACCTCTCATCGGCTCCTCCCTCCCGGCCTCCCCTTGGTTCGCTGCTGCTGTCGCCCGCCGCGGCGCCTCCTCCACTTCCAGATCTTCCCGCCGCCCCCCAAAAATAGCGCCCACCAAAACCCTACCCTGCCTGCCCTTGCCCGCCCCTCCCTCCCCTCCCTCGCGGCCTCCGCCCCTTGCCCCCGCCACCGGAGTAAGTAATAAACCCTAGCCCCACCTCCGCCGCCGCCATGGCCGGCCCGTCCGGCGCCTCCTCCTCGCGCGGCGCCGTCGACCGATTCTACAGCCCGCCGCACGTGCGCCGCCAGCAGCAGGAGGAGCAGCTGCAGCGGCTCAAGGGCCTGGCCCAGGGGCAGGGGCAGCAGCGCCCGTCGTCCCCGGCGGCGGGCACGGTCACGCCCAGGGCCGCCGCCGCCAGGCAGCAGAAGACGCCACCGGCCGAGACGCCCGCCCCGGTCAAGGAGCCCGAGAGGCGGGCCGCCGACGCGCCCTCCAAGCCGCCCCCCGTGTCCGCGCCGGCCTCCACCGCCAAGGCGGCGGATGCGGTCACCGCCGCTCCCCCGGCAGCGGCGCCCGCGGCGCTGGACGAGACGGGGAATCTCGACAGGTTCCTCAGCTCCACCACGCCATCTGTGCCCGTGCACTACTTGCCCAAGGTTTGCCTCCTCAGATTCTTGTTCCTCTTCCGGTGGAATTTTTAGTTGCGTGCTTGCCTTTGCTTGCACCGGTTGCGTTGCGCGCGCGTCCGTGCGGTGCTTGGTTTGACTGCGACGAAACGTTTGTGGCTGCTAGAATCATGCAGCAAAACTGCCGCTGATTGTCAGATTTTTGCCTGATGGTGCCGAATTCGTATTGCTGTTGTCAATCATTGTGATTGGGGAAAGTTTGGGACCCGTAGCTGTGAAGAATGTTGAGAGACCAGATCCGATTTAAACAGATGTCACCGGTGCATCATCAGCTGTTCCTCCTTTTCAGATAGAAACTTCTGAGAAGGTGTAGTATCTCTCAGCGGTGTTCTGCACAATGAGGCGCAGTGTCTCTACCATAGCTCTCTGATTTCCTAGAAATTGCGCGAAGAACTCATTCGCAGAAGGTGACGGTGGTGGTGGTAAATCACCATCATTGCCACCCTGGCTGGTGCCTGCCCCTCCCTCCATTCCAAATTATAAGACGTTTTAGCTTTTCGAGATACATTGCTTTTAATATGTATCTGGCACTTGATTTCATCATCTTGAGTGAGATTGGAGAGCTTGTAGTACATTGCTTAGTGGTCTAGCATCTTGTGGCACTAGTTGGGCGATTTGGGCTGGTGGAGACCGATCCTCCATCGGGCCCCTGCTACGGGAGGGGGCTCGAGGAAAGGGAATCACCGCCCCCGGGACACATTGTGGGCAACAAAAGAAGGCCGAGGCCTTCAGAGTCCTCCCATTCAGAAAAGCCTCCGTGCCAAGTTACACCTCTACGATTGGAGAATTAAATTAGAGAATATTCCATTTTTCCTATATTTATGCCAACTTGTTTTATATCTGTGCTGCATGAGTGTGTTACTATTGGTGATTATTTTACAGTTTTTTGCCAGTACACAATTGGAAAGTGTTGCTAGAGTGATCAATATCAACTGCACTGATGTAGAAACCCTTTTCTTCAAACAAAGAACTGTTAGTTCAAAAGGTTGGGATGAGTTCCCTATGTTGATGTTGCAGTCATGTGAGTCAGCCAACCTAGGTTCTTTCCCTGGGCAAGCCAGTTAGGAAGCACTTAGTGCCAAAAAGAATCTGGTCAGTAGCATTATTTTATGGTCAGGCCAGCAGTATTGCTTCCAGGAGAGGTACAATTTATATTCATCGTAGAAAAGGACTTTTTTTGTGAGAATTATTGAATATGTTGCTTTTGAAGGGTTTTTTCTTTGTTTCCTCAGTTTGGTTTATTTTATAATAAATGATGATGCATTTATCCAGACCAGCATGAGGGGATGGAGGATTGCTGATGTTACGAATTCTCGACCATATTTCTGCCTTGGAGATCTCTGGGAGGCTTTCAAGGAGTGGAGCTTTTACGGGGCTGGTGTCCCCCTTGTCTTAAGTGGAAGTGAATCTGTGATTCAGTATTATGTGCCGTACCTTTCTGGTATACAGTTGTATGCGGACCCTTCAAAGCTTTCATCAAGGACCAGGTAAGATAGCGTATAAGATCAACATTTGTTTTATGTTCTTTATTTTTGTCAGATACAATATTCTGTTCATCAATAGCCTTGCTTTATAAATGTGAAACAGAAGGAAATAATCTCATGGCTTCTGAATCCTTGAAATTAGTTATGAACTTGGAAACTTCATGCATTGCTTTTTTTTTCCTTTAATGAGGAGACTGCATTTTTCTTATGGCTTGCATGCATTGTGCTGTTACCTTTCGGACCATCTTGACAACCAAAATATTCCCACTCTGTTTAGAGTCATTTACATCTCAAAAATTCGTATCATACAAAGGATTAACTTGCGTAAGAAAGTCCAGGAAATTTGAATGCTTCAGCTTTTTTTGTGGCTAGAGTTTAATATCAGAGGGTTAGTAAAATTTTATTTTCTTATCTATTGTTCGCATTTCAGCTATTAAAAAGGTATTCTGATGTGACAGGATAGGGCCATCTGGTAGGCAGCAGATCGATTGGCCCATCGGATTTTAAATGGATCGTAAATAGGGATATGATTTATACTTATTGAACAATATAAAAATGGTTTCTGTTTAGAAAATCCTTTCCTTTCTGATGGAGTCTAGAAAATCCTGTTGATGAATGACATTAGCTAAGATTTATTTATCTGATTCCATGTAATGTAATATAAAGCTGCATATTTGGGCCATCTGGTAGGCAGCAGATCGATTGACCCATCGGATTTTAAATGGATCGTAAATAGGGATATGATTTATACTTGAACAATATAAAAATGGTTTCAGTTTAGAAAATCCTTTTCTTTCTGATGGAGTCTAGAAAATCCTGTTGATGAATGACATTAGCTAAGATTTATTTATCTGATTCCATGTAATGTAATATAAAGCTGCATATTTGTCTATTGAGCACTTGAGGGAGTAATTCTTTGATCAAAAAAGAATGTGTACAGCTTTTCCCTTGTTCGTCTCCCAAGTGGTTTTGTAGTCAGGTTATGTCATAGTTGCCAATAGATTTTTTTGCTTGTTATTCACCTATGTGACGCTCCATAAATTTGACTGCTCAGTATAAGAGCCTTTGATCTTGTTAAATTTCCAATGGAAATTGGAGTGCTGATATGCAACTCATGTATTCACTTTCTATATGTGGTCGTGAATCTGCTTTTGATATTATCCGTCTTTGACCTATGGGATGCTTCTTGTATTGGGAAGTTCCTTCTTGGATTAATTCAGTTGTGGTTGTTTTTTATATTGCTCAACTGATCTTACTTTTCTTGAACTTGATTGATCTTATCATGTTTCACTTGGTCATCCAACATGATTCTAGGACTGAAATAATTGTAAGAACAATGCAATAGGAGCAAGGAACCCCCCTCTTCTACCCAAAACCACTTAGGCATTTTGTTGTTGCGCTTATTAGTAAGCTTTAGATTGTCCATGAATAAATGTGTTATTCAGGATATCATCTTAATACTTAAGTGGGGATGAAACTGGACTTATCGAAACTACCATCAGGATAGATGACTTTTTTTTAAAGAGGTCAATTGCCGTTGGATTTGCCAGAGTCACTTATCCATTGTACATGAGTTGATTGAATTATCACATTATTGGAGCCTAGAGCAGAAAGAGTCCTAATAATGCAAACAACACCTTTACTAGAATTTCGAGAAATCTAGTTTATTTTACCTGTATGATCTGTAGTTGTGTATTTTGTTGTAGCCTTACAACGTACAAGTCACTACGATTTGTAAGTCTTTTAGCTGTGTATATTGTTCATTGTGGACATAAAAAATAAGCATCAAAACTCAAAAGAAATCAACATGAATTGTCTAAAGGCTTTCTTTTTCCCCAGTGTGGCTGTTCTTTTCTTGGTTCTGCGGTTTTCATAGCTCGTAACACGGTCTTAGTTAATTTTCTCGTTTAATTAAGGCATCCTTGGGAGGAAAGTGATGGGGAATCTATGGATACTAGCAGCGAAGGTAGCAGTGAAACTGATGCTGACCGATTAAGAAGCTCAAGCGTGGAAGCTACATGTCGATTGGAGGGTGGCTTTCAAAGGGATGGTGATGAAATGCACTCACCATCGACTCGTCCAATTTTCGAATATCTTGAGACGGATCCACCATTTGGTAGAGAGCCATTAACAGACAAGGCAAGTCTTTATTTCGTATGTCAAATGAAATGTGTCTAGATATGTTATTTGTTGACACTTTACTCTAAATTTCAATTCAGGTATCAGTTCTTGCAACCAAATTTCCAGATTTGAAGACATTTAGAAGTTGTGACCTGCTGCCAACCAGTTGGATGTCTGTTGCATGGTATGTCTATAATGCTCTTGGATTCTCTGACATCATTTACAATGCAATCTTTTGAGTGGTAGCATCTCTGAACTGTACTGCTCTTTTTTGGTTGACGTTTGTAAGCTTTTGACTATTCCATTTCTTTTAGGATAATCTTCCAACTTTACCATTTTTAGTGTTTAAATAACTAATTCCCAACTTTATACATACCAAATTAATTTTTGTGTTCATTGCCACTACCAATAGTTTTCTGAGACCTCATTTCACAGTTGTTGTGCTTTCTATTAGTTACTGGTGCTTATAAGTTTCTATATAGCAAGAATTGTCACTTGTACTGTGGTTCAAACAGAGGCTACACTTCATATTGATTGATAGAATACAAAGGGGCACTTACTAAATTTCAGTTAAATAACGTAAAATTTTAGAAGAGCAATACTGTAACTTAAGTGTTGCTATGACTCTACATCAGTTTCATCCTGGGGCTTACAATTGCAGGTACCCTATCTATAGAATCCCAACTGGACCAACACTCAAGGATTTGGATGCATGTTTCTTGACATTTCATTACTTATCAACACCTTCCAAGGGTATGTTCCATCTTTTGCTGGTATCTAGTCTTTCCTTGCACCAGATAAACTCCCCTCATTCTTCAGTTCATTTGATAGCTAGATTCCTTTTTCACAGATACTGATCCCAGTACACCAGCATGCCCCAGTTTTGGGGGCCTTAATTGCAGTATTAATGCCGCTGGTAAACTAACATTGCCTGTCTTTGGACTGGCATCATACAAATTAAAGAGCTCTGTTTGGTCCTCAAATAGGCCTGAGGAGCAGCAGCGTGCAGCTTTGTTGATGCAGACAGCAGATGAATGGCTTCGCCATCGCCAAGTGTACCATCCAGACTTCCGATTCTTTCTCACCCACTATAACACAGCATTGAGATGACACGAGATGGGCGCATCTCGCTGTAAATTGTCTTTATTAGTATGTTATATGTTGTTGGATGAGCCGGGCTACCTGTAACACTATGTTGTTGATCATGTAACGTAGCGCTTCTCTGAACTTTTTTGGTATGGTTCAGTAGTTCAAGCCAGACAGCTAATTTGTAACTCCTCCAATAATTCTTTTGATGTAGGTAAACTTTTGAGAGTAAACATTATGGAGATCTGTAAAACAGAAACTGATGGTTATAAATTTTTTGAACTTATAGATTTGAGAACACATTGATTATCAAATCTCGTATTATATGTTTTCATCTAAGATCCAGAATATCTGGAGCTATTAGAGCGATGATTAGTTTCTGTCTTTCTTTTCCTCAAAAAAGGGGACCTCTGAGGCTCTTGCAAAATCTAGCGACAAAAATGAAGGATCTGTGCGGTGGTTGTAGATGTCATTTTACTTTGAATCGTGTGGGCAAAAACTTCTTTTCCAGAGCTCGTATCTTGGAAAGTGGAAACAAGGGAATATGTCCATTTCTGTCCCACTAACTCTTGTGTAATTTAGCCAACATTTAGATACTAATAATCTGTCTATCAAACAATAAACTCTTGTGTAAACTGTTCAAAATTGGTGCTGACTATCAAATCCATTTGGTTCTGATGCCATCTAAGGCCTTGTTTGGATGCATGTGTATCCACATTAATCCGCATGTGTTGAACTGGATTGTAATAGAATTTAGGTCATGTTCGCTTAAATTTATCAGTCATGGTATAATATTTTTTTTTATCTCAAATCAGCGAATAGTACTTTTCAGCCTGACTTTTCAGCGAAACGAACATGCCATTAGTTTAATTCCACTCAAATTCATTTTAACACATGTGGATTGAAACGAATACATACGCATCCAAATACGGCATAAAGTGAAACAATGGTTGGCACCTTCATAGAGTCGTATCACAGGTTATGTTGAGTCTGTGACAGATTATGTCCTCACGGGCAAAGTGGTGCTCGAACACGATGGCTACTCGTGGGACAGGTGTGGCACCGAGTAGAATCGAGCAACGAGCTGCATTGTGGTGGGTGCACCCCTAGTCTCACCCAGCGCATGAGCACCCTTGCGTAGGGCATGAAGAATCCTCTTGAGCCGTATTGGTAAGGCATCAAGCAAGGTTGTAGTAAGCTGTAAGCCTAGTGCATTTGTACTCCTTTTGTTTACATTTCATACATTTTTATGCTTGCCTTGCTTGTGTTGTAATCAATCATCAAAAAGGGAAGATTGTAAGGATCATGCGACCATGATTATATATTTGAGTTTTGATAATTGTCAAGACAATACAAGCCCAGGACTAACATGTGCACCAAAGATGTGTTAGACAGATTTACATAGATTCTAGTGATGCAAGAAGTCAAAGCGAATTGAAAGATATTAAAGCCAAGACATAGAGAGGGTTGAATTATTGGACTTGTCTCATGACTTTTATATGATTAAATCAGAAGAATATCATGCTCAAGTTGTAGATATTTGAATAAATCTTCCAACAAGTTCAAAAACATCAAAATCAGAGTTTGGTGATAGAAGATACGGCCAAAATACTGAAGCACCAACAAGCTGCCACCTTAGTGATGTTCACTAGATGATATAGCGTGGAAGTTTTATTGATCCAGTGCTGGGTATGAGATTTGGTGTTTGCATCTCCTTTTTTAGGTATGAAATTTTGGAGGATTGTTTTTTCATTGCCTTCTCTATGATTGCCTAAGCCCATGATGCACCTTTTGAGCTTAAGGCGGTTTAAAAACTCCACGTCCCAGAGTGCTGTTGTTTTCTTAGACTATATTCAGCCGAAGGATTATTTTCTGGTCCATGTGAAAATTTAGTCAAGCGTCTAAGATGATGGACCCACTCCATGATCAAAAGGTCAAACGTCATCGTGTAAAGTTTGTAGCCTAGCCTATCAAGATTCACTGCGATGAGTTGGCTTGTTCCATGCCTGCTTGACTATATCTTGGAAGCAAGACCCACACGTCCAGAAAATTTCGAATTTGAAAGGTGTGGAATGCCGAGGTCCAAATTGATTGGCCACGAAGAGTGGGCAATGATCCGGATGCGAGGAGGATAATACGTGTAGTGTATTATGATTATGAAAGGTGAAATCCCAATGTTCATTGCAGAAGGTTCTGTCTAGGCAGATGAGAGTCATTCGACGTCTTTCATTACTCCATGAAAATTTCCTATTTTGGAGATGTATTTTTTTTGTCATAAAAATTTAGCGTCACTTTGAATCTATACATGAGGCTAAGGTTGAGGTCGTTTTCGTCCCTAGCTCTATAAATTGAAATCTTCTACGATAAGCCACTTTGTGCCATGCTTTTAATTTTATGGGGTGTGTCGGTGTTTCGAGTTGCCACCAAAAAGTAAATTTCTAATATTGCGCGTCTGGCTCGAATGGTGTGCTAAGAGGACACGAGGTTTATACTAGTTCGGGCAGAATGTCCCTACGGCCAGTTCCTTGCTACTGCTCGTATTACTAGCACTGAAAGTTTGTAGTAGGAGTTACAAACGGACGAGAGAGGGACAGATCCCAAGTCTCTGATGAAAAGAATGAACGGGTGCCAAGCGCTTCGGTAGTCGCTTTCTTTTCGTGTTCGGGTTTGATGGATCGATCGGATCGTGGTTCGGTTGTGTTGCAATCGTTTGTTCGATGCCCCTTGTGGGAAGTTTGTTTTAGGCCAAGAAAGCACGGGTTACAGTCGAGGAAAAAGAAGAGAATGAGAGAAAGAAGTCCTTCAGGATTGTCGGGTCCTTCTTCTCCTATATGCGGGTCCCGTGGACCCTGTAGACGTCAACAAGGACAGCTTCTCGTCGCAGCCCTGTCCGTCACTGACGTCATATGTAAGCGTCGTTCGCCGGTCATGGCGCTCCACTATGTCCTGACGGCCGTCGTGTCGAACTGAGGCGCCCGTCAGTGTTCGTGCTTAGGCGAGCACTGCACGCCTGCGCCGTCTTTGTCGGGTTTCTCTGTCGTGGGTCGCGGGCTATGGATCTCTTCCCTAGCGTTAGAGCTTTGACCTCGAGTCCATACGCTTGGACCTAGAGGGTTGGCGGTGGCATGTCTCCGTTGCAAGAGCTTGCTCGATCGAGGCGGAGTTCCTCCCGAGCGAGGCGGAGCGCGAACCCAAGCCTGGTGGCGGAGCCCAAACCCAAGGGTCGAGCGAGGCGGAGCCATCCCTTAGAGGTCAGGCAAGGCGGAGCCCACGACCTCGGTGTTGGGCGAGACGAGCTGCCCCAGAGGTCGAGTTGTTTGTCCACTTCCATAAGCGAGGTGGAGCTCGCGGCCTTGGTGTCGAAGCCCCACGACCTCGGTATTTCCACCCTTCAGGCGAGGCGCGGAGCCCGTGGCCTCGGTGTCAGGCGAGGCGGAGCCACCTCGGGGTCTAGCCCACGACCTCGGAAGGTGGAGCCACCCTTGGGGGTCAGGCGAGATGGAGCTACCCTCGGGGTCGGGCGAGGCGAGCCCGGGTGAATCCAACCCTCGGGGGTCCAGGCGGCGGAGCTCGTGGCCTCGGTGTTAGGCAAGGCAGAGCCAGCCCTCGGGGGTCAGGCGAGGCGAAGCCCGCGGCCTCGGTGTTGGGCGAGGCAGAGCCAACCCTCGGGGGTCGGGCGAGACGGATCCACGCTTAGGGGTCGGGTGAGGCGGAGCCCATGGCCTCGGTGTCGGGCGGCGGAGCCAACCCTCGGGGGTCGGGCGAGGTAGAGCTCGCGTCCTCGGTGTCGGGCGAGGTGGAGCCAACCCTCAGGGGTCGAGCAAGGGCGAGTTTACGCACCTGGAGGTCAGGTGGAGCTGTAGTCGTACTCTTGACTGCTCGGACAAATTAATGTTGATGGTTATTAGCTCCTCCTCTTCGGGTACCCTGGTATTGGTCCCCGATAGTAGCCCCCGAGCCTGCGGAGGAGTAGAATACTCCTTCGGAGGTTTTTCCGAACAGGAGGACTTTGAGGTTCTTGGCCTCCTTTTGTCGCCCACGGCATGTCCCGGGGATGGTGATTCCCTCTCGTCGGGGTCGGACCCTTCGCGGGTATGGTTGTGAGATTTTGGTAGGTTGTTAGCTGGCTAGTTCAAGTGGGGTCCTGGCATCCCATTCATGGGGATCAAGGGGTGGTGATTCAGAGATTCGGGGGCAATCCATATAGTTCTCCTCAAGTTCGACCGGTCCCGGTCCCGAGGGCTCTCTACCTTTCTTCGTGGAAAAACCATGGATCGTGCCCCCGCCGAGACTCGATCGTGGGCCGGATTCATCGCTGGTACTAGCCGCTTGCGGGCCCATCCCTTACCCTAAGGGCGCCCGAAGCAGTTGTCGAACCCGTTGATGGGCCAACCTTTGAACTCCTGGCTCGGGGGGGCGTCAGAGTGTTTTTGACCCGATTCCTCTTACTTGTGATGCCCCAGAGAGGCAAAATCATGGAGGACAAAGATTGCGGGCGTTCCCATGGCGAGAGTGGGAGGAGATCCAGATCCGGGACCACATCGCCGCCATTCATCATCCTCAAGGAGAACGGCCACCAATCGCCTAGAGTTCCATCATCCCCGCCGCCGTCAACCGTCCCCACCTCCAATGGATCTACATCACCTTCCATGCATGGAGGGACATCACCTTCCCGGAGGGCCCGACGAGGAGGATCACCGCTGATGATGCACGTGTTGTTCGCCCACTTCCATAAGCGTGGGTTCGTGACCCCCGCACCCATATTTCTTGTGTCATTCGGCTACAAGATCGAGCTACAACACCTCAATCCCAACGGATCCAAAGACATGGCGCCTGGGAGCTCCCCACTCACCTATGGAGGTCATGCAACGCACCCTCCGTAAGAAGAGGCGATGGAGCTAGGAGCGCACATGCCGATGGGAGGCGTCGATCCAACTCCCCCAACCAATTTTGTCTACCCGGTCGACATCCAACAAGGGTGGCATCCTACCTCAAGTGGCGCCAACCGTGCCATGTCATCTTTG